GGAATACTGTAATTCTCAAATACCAGACCCACAAATGACAGGAAACCCTATAAATGTCTAAAAAAAAAAAAAAAATTCCAATTAGCAATCTCAAAGAGACTTAGTAGGACACAAGAAGACTCAGTTAGGGCCGAGCCCGTGGCGCACTCGGGAGAGTGCAGCGCTGGGAGCGCAGTGGCGCTCCTGCCATGGGTTCGGATCCTATATAGGGATGGCTGGTGTGCTCACTAGCTGAGCGCGGTGCGGCCGGTCTCGAAAAGGACAAAAAAAAAAAAAAAGACTCAGTTAGACAACAAAGTGAAAGGAAAAAAACAATCCAGGACATGAAGGAGGAAATTTAAAAGAAGATAAATACCATAAAAAAGAATGTAGCAGAACTCCTAGATTTGAAAGACTCATTCAACGAAATAAAAACTACAATTGAGAGTGTAAGCAACAGGCTAGAGCAAGCAGTAGAAAGAATTTCTGATCCCAAAGACAGCCTTATCAAAATATGCAAGTAGACAAAAAAAGAAAGAAAAAAAGAATTTTTAAAAAGTGAAGAAAATCTAAGAGAGCTAGTAGACAATCTTAAAAGCACAAATATAGAAATCATGTGTTTTCCACAAGGAAGAGGAGAAAGGAAAAGACACAAAAAACAAACACATTCAATGAAATTAAAGTGGAAAACTTCCCAGGTATTGGTAGAGATACAGACTTCCACATTCAAGAGGCTCAAAGACCCCCAGATTCAATCCAAAAAGGTCCTCTCTGAGACACATTATATTCAAATTGGCAAAGCTCAAAGACAAAGAGAGAATCTTAAAAACAGCAAGAGAGAAGCATCAAGTCACCAATAAGGGAGCCTCCATCAGACTACCAGCAGACTTCTCAACAGAAACCCTAAAGGTCAGAAGAGAATAAGATGATATATTCAAAGTACTACAAGAAAAAAAACCTGCCAGCCAAGAATACTATACACAACAAGGCAATCCTTCAGAAATGAAGGGGAAATAGGGTATTTCCCAGACAAACAAAAACTGCAGGATTTCACCACCACACAACCAGCTCTACAAGAAATCCTTAAGGGAATCCTGCACCTGGAAACAAAACAATGATAATCAGTACCACGAATACACAGGAAAGAACACACCCCACTGGTATAGCAGATATGCAAACAAGAAAGAGAAAGAAACTATACCACACCACCTCAAAAAACCAACAAACACCGAAGACAAACAATAAAAGGAGAGGAAAGGAACAAAAGATGTTTAAATCAACCATATGAAAAGCAATTAAATGTCAGGAGTAAGATGATACCTTTCAATAGCAACCCTAAATGTAGATGGATTAAATTCTCCACCCAAAAGACACAGACTGACTGACTGGATTAAAACCCTTAACCTAACTATATACTGTCTTCAAGAGACTCACCTCACCTATACACACAGACTAATAGTGAAGGGATGGAAAAAGACAGATCATGCAAATGGAAACTAAAAATGAGCAGGAGTAGCTATACCTATATTGGATAAAACAGATTTTAAACCAAATGCCATAAAAAGAGACCAAAAAAGGCCATTATATAATGATAAAGGGAACTATCCAGCAAGAAGACATAATAATCATAAATATATATATACACCCAACACTGCAGCATCCAGATATATAAAGGAAACACTATCAGACCTAAAGAAAGAGATAGAACCAAATATAATAATAGTTGGGGACCTGGACACATCACGTAGGCAACAAACCAACCAAGAAACACAGAATTTAACTGCACTTTAGACTAACTCAACTTGGCAGATATCTATAGAACATTTCATGGCACAACTACAGAATATACATTCTTCTCATCAGCACATAGAACATTCTCCAGGATAGGCCACATGTTAGATCACATATCAAATCTCAACAAATTTTAAGAAACCGATAACAAGCAAAACTCGGGAAACTATAAATACACATGGAAATTAAACAACATGCTCCTGAATGACCTATGGATCCAAGAAGAAATTAAACAGGAAATCAAAAAATTTCTTGAACCTAATGAAAATAAAGACACATCATACTAAAACCTGTGGGATACAGCAAAAGCAGTAGTAAGAGAGAAGTTTATTGCAATAAACACTTACATCAAAAGAATAGAAAGATTTCAAATAAACAACATAATAATACACAAAGAACTAGAAAAAGAACAATCCACTTCCAAAATTAGTAGATGGAAATAAAGATCAGGGCAGAACTAGATGAAATAGAGACATAAAAAACAATACAAACGATCAATGAAACAAAAAGTTGGTTGTTTGAGAAGATAAACAAAATAGACAAACCATTAGCTAGACTAACTAGAAAAATAAGAGAGAAGGCCTAAATAACAAAAATCAGAAGTGAAAGAAGAGACATTATAATCAATACCACAGAAATACAAAGAATCATTAAAGACTATCATATATATCTATACATCAGCAAATTTGAAAACCTGGAGGAAATAATTTTCTGTACACATGCAAACTATCAAGACTGAACCAAGAAGACACAGAAAACCTGAACAGACCAGTAACAAGCAACAAAATTGAAGCACTAATCAGCAGTCTCCCAACATATTAAACCCCAGGACTGGATGGCTTTACTGCTGAATTTTACCAAACCTTTAAAGAGGAATTATTATAAATTCTCTTCAAACTATGCCAGAGGCCACTCTCCCAAACTCATTCCATGAGGCCAATTATCACCCCGATATCAAAACCAAAGATAAAACAAAAAAGAAAACTACAGGCCAATATCTCTGATGAACATAGATGCAAAAATCCTCAACAAAATATTAGCAAACAGAATACAGCAACACATCAAAAACATTATACACCACAATCAAATGGGATTCATCCCAGGGATATAAAGATAGTTCAACATCCACAAGTCAATAAATGTGATACACCACATCAACAAAATCGACAAAAACCATATGATCATCTTAATAGATGCAAAAAAAGCATTTGACAAAATTCAATGTCCCTTCATGATAAAGATTCTCAGTAAATTAGTTATAGAAAGAATGTATCTCAACACAATAAAAGACATACACAACAAACCCTATATAATGAACTATGATAAAGGATAAAGAAAAAAATGAGAAGGGTTAATATGTCTAAAATGGTTAAGATAATGCCAGGGCAATATTAAGCAATAAAAAAAAATGATAGCTGTTATTACTAACTATAGACCACTAGCAGTAAGTGATTTCATTCTCATTTGTAACCATTTCTATGTATCTTTCTCTTCCACCAGATTGAGCTCTTTGAGGAAGAATAGTGTGTCTTATTTATCTTTGCTTCTTCCCAATGCCTAGCCTAGAAGTTAGCACATTGTAGGTTACTATTAATTATTAGTGTATGTTTGAATCAATGAATCAAATTCCCTGCTTCTAAGCCATTCATATAACTTTTTTTAGAGATTCTATTAGGACATTATCACCTTAATATCAATTCAGAAAAATAGATGTTTCCAAGAAAGGCACCTGTCAATTCAATGATGCAAATTTACTAAGCAGCTAATAGTATGATTGATGGGAGTTTTCCAGTACTGCAGACTACAGTATTAGCATGAAGAAGAAAATGAGTCACTTCACACTATATGAAAACTGAGAATATGGTTTCTCATTTTTAACGGACAGGACGGACTCCTGCTTCTATTTTCAATCAATTTAGTATCCTACAAGGTTTCATGAAATGAATTATCTGAAGAATAATCTACCCAATGCTGATCAAAAATAAGCATGAGGACTTCAAATTAAGTTCAAGGACACATAATAATATGAGAGCCAGCAAGACCTATTAACTCCCTCTTTGCTTTTGGCAGCGGGCAGATCCCCAAAACAGTAATATACCTTTCCTTGTTTATTGAAGGCCATCTTTTATGGCTATAGATTGAATTTTAAAAACACAAGTTTTTATTTTTGCTGCTACTCAAGATAATATAATTTTCATTTTAAACTATTCATGGAGAAAAAATATATATACTTCTCAGCTTTGATCTAATGGTAGGCATACAGAGGGTAAAGAGAATCCACAACTTTAAATGCAAGTTGTGCTAAAAAATCAACTTTAGTAAACATGTTGTTTGAAACCAAGTATACATATTTTCCTAGAGAAACCATGTTAGAGTTGGAGGCCAAGTCTCCAGTTGGTCTTTGTAAGACTGAAGCACTACTTAACACCTAATAAAATACTGAAAAACCTAATCCTCTAGGTCTGACACTTTATGGGAAAACGTATGCAGAGTTCTCATCTGGGAAAAACAATTCTTTGTTTCTCTGTAGTCTAACATGTATTCTAACCAGCAGAAGTCACAACAGGATAGAAGCTAGGAAAAGAGGATTTCAGTCAGTGAACAAAAAGAAAAAAAATTTTCTGCAATAGGATATGTCTTAGTCCAGTTTGGCTCCCTTCAACACTTCATTTTTTTCCTGAAGATCCCAGCAAATGTCCTATTCTACTTACAAGAAAAAAACTTGGAGTTTCTAGTAGAAGATTATCTCTTTCCCAGAGTCACTACAGGAAAAAGAGCACCTGTTCTGACTGCATCCCCGTTCTCAGTTGTTGATTAGTAAAGCAAGCATTTCAACCACAGTGATGTTCGATAGTCATACTTTATTGATACTAATTACCCGAGTCTCAGGAAATAGCTCAGAAGTAGTTTCCCTGCTAAAGAGTTATTATCTCATATCTTATACATCAATCTTATATATCAATAACCACTATACAGCAAATATCTGCCACAGCTAGGGAGTAATACAAACCTTCAATGTGATTTGGCTATAAACATTTTCTTTCACTGAAAATTAATTCTGAATTACCTGAAGCAAAGGTTGCTCAAACAATATCAAGTGTATTCCAAGGAAATGCAAAGTAGCCTAGCTACTGTTCTGTAGACTCAATCCCATATATCCAACATCCAATTTATGAGTTGTTTTTGTTTTTAATGAAGCACAATTACCACAGGTATTAAAACTATATTACCTTCATAATGTTAACTAAATCTGTTTGATAGTAGCGATCCTGATGTGCATTTGCTGCTGCTAGTGTAAGAAGATAATCATTCCTTGCGTGGGTAGCCTTTGAATTACACTCAGATCTCCGGGCTTTTAACTAAAATACAGTAAAAGAAATAAATCAGTGCCAACTGATATTGCACTGCAAGACACATAAGGCTACTACTCCTAGCTGGCAGTTATAAGCTCCCCACCAAGAATAACAATGTAGAGAAAACATTTAGATGTATATAAATATTATTCATCACTATTGAGTAATGAAACAATGACTAGAACTGTTACACATGGTAAAAGCACTTTCAAATATTTTTTAATTATGCTTAACATATTTCCAAAGCTTTCTAGAGAATGTCGATATTTTCATTTTATTCAGATGGGAAAATAAAGGTTCCAAATTGCAGAAGGTACCTTATCTTCAAATCCAGTGGAGTTAGAAAATAGTTTTTTAAAAAATCAACATTCTTAACGTGTCAGAACTATATGCTAGCTGGGAGCCTGGCAGCCAAAGCCAAGTTGCTAAGCTTACTTATCAGGTATTCCATAGCTCAAAGGTCACATAGGAAAAATTCACTTGTATCTGACCCAGAATAAATGCACAGAGGTCTAAGTTGGAATAAAATGGATTTTGTAGAGCTTTCTAAAGCCTCTGGACTAATTCTCCTGGACTAAGTGTTAAAGACAACAGGCTACCCCAAGTGTTAAAGTATAGAAAGTCATCCCTAAAGCAGTCTTGAGAAGTAAACTGTGTCCCAAATGCTGACACCTAGGTGAAAAACCCTCAATGAACTGGGAGAGAAAGTTTTTCCCTGAGTTAATGACTTTAAAATTCTTCTCTAAGGTAGAAATAACCCGCCTCCACCCTCTAAATATCCAACTCTTTATAAGCTAAGAGGTTTCTTAATTGTGAAATACTTTTCAAAAACTCACCTTCACACTTGCCTTCTGTAAACTGATTCTTGATTGAAAAAGACTAAGTTTAGATCTACAATAAAAATAGAAAAGTATGCTTAATAAAATTACCAAATTATATAATAAAATTACTAAATATTATAATTACTCAAATTTTTAAATGGCTTTTTCAAAACACAATTCAAAAAAAGAATTAAAAAATGGAAAACCAAGAGCAATGATTATTTTCCTTTTTTTTTTTTTTACTATAAGAATAATTTACTCTCATGGTAATATAGTAAATACTGGGATTAATATAACAAAAATATCCTGAATGACAAAAATACAATTTCAGAAAGAAAATATCAAGATATACTGGTGCTCATAATAACAAAAGCCATCAAACTACAGGTTACTCCCAGTATCATACAATTTTACACACTTCAGTTCCTGCAAGGAAGGTAAGAGAAACCCATGGACAACCAACTTATGGAGGCAAAGGTTAGCAGGCTTTCAGGGCTGTGAGTGATAGGCTGTAATAACAACAGGAATGTCATCTACAGGCTCTAGAGTCCTTACTTCCATTATTTCCTGCATTAAAAGTTCTTGTTTGGGTGCCTGCCTGTATGTCCCCTCCACTCTTAAAGGTATTCTGAACTTATTGAGAAAATCCTTAGCCTTTCCACTCAGTATGATTTTGTTCTCTGTATTTAATCTTTTCCCACTCTGGTGTTCTTATATCCTTCAATCCCTTTCAGAGATGGGAGGGGAATCATAATCTAACAATCATTAGTAAAAATAAGTTGGTTTTAATCAAACAATTAGAGATAACCATACAGAGAAAGTCTATATAAAAATGCTAAGGAACAAACAACATTCCCATGACCAGTGATTTTTTTGAAGCTGCGATGTTTGTCTTGACTGCAATGTCATGGTGATTGCCATGGGAGAATTCAATGCATGTGCTGGAAGCTATGCCATAATATGAAGTAAAGTTGCAGACTACTTGGGATTGGAAAATGGAGCAGCCAGTCTCTGTACGGCCAATGTGAAGAGGAGAGCAAAAGCAGACTCTTATTTCTAACAAAAGAGAGAACACATTCAGGGATGAACACATATGCATCCTAACTAGTTCCCCCCTGTTAAAAAAAAAAAAATTGGGTCTAAAAGTTAAAGAGCAAACTTTAAGATTTGACAGAACCTGTTCATGGTAAGAAAGACTATGTTTGGGGTGTTCCCAGTTTTCCTTTTTCTATAGTCATCCAAATGGGTGGAGTTGCATCTAGACTTTCCAATATAAGGTTTTAAGTTTCTGGCTTCTGCTTCATTTGCTAACCTTCATATACTTCTTGTACAATATTAAGGTAGGAATTAGTAACAGACAGAATAAGATAGTACCTGGCCTCAAACATTACAATCTAGAAAAAAATAAGATAGGATTTTTACAAATCATACACTATGAAAATAATGAACTATAGTGCATGCTACTCTTTACCATTTACCCCTCAAATGTTAATGTTCCTTGGGGTTCCAAACACAACTTCTCATCTTATCCTAAATATGATTTCATCTCTAACTATCGTCTCATAGTCACCTCACCCGCAAAGCAAGATCTTCAGGCACAAATTTTCAGCTGAAGGTCAGATATTTGACTATCTGCCAAACATATTCACCCCAATGTCTCCTAGGCTCTTCAGAATCTACATATACAAAATGGAACCCATCATCTCCTCCAAACTGTATCCCTCTCTTCCTTCTATGGTCTCTCCTAATATGCGCATCTCACCATCTATTAAAGCATCTATCAAAACTATATGTAGTCCAGTTTTCACTTCCTCTTCCTGATCTTATCTCTAATGAAAAAAATTATATTCATTTTTCAAGACTCTTTCCAAACATCATTTTTTAATAAAGATTTCCCTTACCATTAGGCAAAATTAATCTCTCCATTTTCTGTGCTTTCATAACAATGTTTTCACATTACTACTGTAAAAAATACATTATTAGTTACTAGGTGAATGACTTCAGGCATTTAATTTATCTGAGTTTACTGTGAAAAATCAAATTGTAAAGTTATTTTAAACACATTTTCTAATAAAGGCTTTAAACTCCTTGAGGACACAAAACTTACCTTACTCATCTCTACCCACAGTACCCAATATAAAGTAATTACTCAATAAACATTTAGTGAATCAATGTTTATTGAATGAATGAAGCTAAAGAGGCATTTCTTACTCTGTACTTGAATTAATTTTCCAGAAAAGCTACACATTGAACTAAAATGTCTAACTTGCTGTATTACCTTTGAATTTGGGCAATATTAGAAGGAAGTTCCTGTGACCAGCTCTATGAATTAGATCCTGTCAAATCCATACTTCTCAAGAACAGCCTGCCACTGTCCTCATTTTCACCCTGAAGGCCATGGCTAAATTAGGTATTTATATATGTTCTACAAACCTGTCGACTTTCTGTACTAGAATCCCTGAGAGTTTAAAAAACAAGTTACTAAAAACCAGCATGACAGGATATTCCTAATGAAGATCTCCTAAACTAAAAACTTCAGGTCTTATTGGGAAAATGGGTTCATTGACTCTATGCAAGTACAAAATATCTGTATGCTCAAAAAATAAAACAATAAGGACAATAAACTAAATTAGGAAAATACTCAATATGTTTTCCTGTAATATCAGGAAATTGATGTTTATGAGTATTAATTTACCATCTCTTGGCATTAAATAAACTTTTCGGGAGCTCCTGAATTTTCCCAAGATGCTTATCAGGTTGTTTAAATTTCTTGCAGATAAAAAACATTAGAAAGACACCCCTCTTTGCTGGTCTGTTGTAGAAGTGTTCAAAGCCTTTCTGATTTAATGACTAGGAGTTTGGACTGCTAGATTTTACATCAGTCAGCATATTGAACAGGAGTCTCAGGTTTCCTGCTCACAGACCTCTTCGGAGTCCTATAACATATATTTATTTTTTCTCATCAACTTTTTATCTTTCCTTAAGTTGTCACTGTAAACATTTCTACTCTATAACTTGCTTTGTATATCCTTCTATTACTAATTGCTGGTTCCTACTTTTCCTAGTTATTCTTAAAAAATAAAGAACTTGTAATTCAAATATACTGAAAGTGAAATTCACACAATTGCTAAAGCACACATGAAAAAGTATATATACTAGAATTTCATGTAAAAGAAACAACAGTGCCTGGGACAGAGTTTCTATAAGGAGGTCAGTGCTCTTATTCACTTAATGTGTCCATGGTCCTTCAATGGCATCCTGAAGATCACAAGGATTTCCAACTACAGTTGATCTAGAACCTAACATGAGAAAACGAGGCCCTTAAACCTTGATATTCAGACACCTTAGCAACTTTAATTAGACTTTTGATAAACTTCCAAGTTTGTAAATACAGTGTTCATTATCTTCTTTCTTTTTCAAAATGCAATTTAATATGAAAACTCAACTAATCGAATATTCCCATTTTGCCATATTAATTTAGATTAAAATCAGCCAATACAAAAGAAAAATGTGATCTAAAGTAATTAATTTTATTTGTAGGTCAAATGAAACCAACACAACCTAAGAATGAGTCTATGTTCTGTATTAACAGAGAACAAAATATTAGCAAAGATAATATTTATTTGCATAATCATTTTCTCAGAAATGCTAAAACACATACTTTGCCTCGATGTCAGCTTTTTCTCGTACTGCATGAGCCATCTGTTCAGTCTCAAAGTACTTCTTTTTGCCTTTAGTTAAATCTTTCACTGTCTCTTGTAATTCAGTTTGGATCTTTGTCAGCTGGTCCACACACTGTAAAATACAAAAGTGCAATTATTATGATTTTAGTTTTCAGGCTTACAGAGAATGACTTTGTCCTAAGGACTACACATTATACCTTCAATATAGAAACCTAGGAGAAGAATCTGCTATTTCAGTGTCCTTCAAATTGCAAATTAAAATCCAGTGAACAGCTGGTACTCCCATCTCAACTATCCAATAGTGTCACAGTTTGCCTAACAACCATGCTTTGAGAAATAACCTGAGTGCTGCTGATGACTGATGTTAAGGTTAAGGCATAAGAAGAGCACCTATGAAAATACTCTTATGTTGGAGATTTCATCGCAATAAAGGTAAAAGAATAAAGCAATTCTCTATTTCTACATAACCTTAATAAAGTCTCCCTATATGTTTGGATAACTTATGGTGCAAAGGGTACTGAAGGATTCACCCCTAGACAAGAAGGAGTGAAATCCGAGATGTCTGACTCGAGAAGTCTGATTCCCAAGAGAAGGAGAGAAGCAGGAAACATGGACATCATATAACAATTTTTACTTAAAACTATACCCAGCCCAACTTCCTAAATACATATGTATATTCTGGGAGAAGGGATAGACATTATTAAGCAATAAACTCTTATAACACATTGTGGCCAAAGTAACAATTCTTTGAAACCCTTCTGGGTTTCCAAACGTGAGTTATTTCTTCCATTTTGAAACAAACCATTGAGAAGTTTCACTAGCCTGAGACCAGCTCAGAGCAACCACCATCTAAAAACTTCTGAGCCTGGAATAGCACTGTCAGTGTTTGGTGGAGACTGACAAAAGCTCAACAATACAGAAGGAGACACGAGTGAGGGACTATTATGCTGAGTTACAGCATGAAGTAGAGCAAAGACATCAGAAGGTCAAGGATAAAGCAAGAATAAACTTAAACTTACGTATGACATATAGACTGGAGCTTTCCAGAAATAGTTAGGTGTTCAGAAAGGACTACTTTAGAGGGGGTGAGAGATCTGGAAGGTTCTGTGTGGGCAGGTAAAAGCAAAATAACCACTCACACTTAATAGGTGTCAGGTGGTGAATAAAGGGTTTTTTTAAAAAAATAAAACAAAACCCTTTTCCCTCTTCACGAAAACTGGACCTTTGCTTAACTTTCTAAGTCAGTGTTTCAGTAGAAACCCGAAGAAAAGATACAATGTCAACTGTGTTATTAGGCAACATTGCTTATAAGCCTTGATATGTAAACCACATCAATTTGGGACAAACTATAAATGAACTATAAATATTCTATAGAGAAGCAACGGCCTTGGGATCTGTGATTATGGTGATTCATGTATCTGAGTGTGTTTCTTGCAGGGACTCTTGAAAGTCTGACCAAATAGAGTTATAATAAAAGATTTCAGGGCCGGCCCGGTGGCGCACTGCTACAGTGCGCCGCTTGGGAGCGCGGCGGCGCTCCCGCCGAGGGTTCGGACCCCACATACAGACCGGTTCCCGCTCACTGGCTGAGCAAGGGGCGGGCACAGCACCGAGGGTTGCGATCCCGTTGCCGGTCCCCGGTCTGGTACGGGCGCGACACTGAGGGTTGCGATCCGTTGCCGGACACGAAAAAAGACAAAAAGGAAAAAAAAAAAAAAAAGATTTCAGTCTCCTTTAGAGTCTGAGACTGCCCCTGTACATTGAGTCTCATTTCCTCATCCCAGACCTGTCACCTGGAGAACCAAACAGAATGACTGATTTGTTGAAGAAACCAGATATTAGTCCTGCGGTTTCCAGAGCCTAGATAATGATGACTGATGTGTCATTTAATCATTTCCTCTTTTTTTATTCCTTTACTTTTTATTGTATAAATTTAAGGTATATGATAAGGATAGAATTGTGGAAGCAAGTTTTATGTATGAGAAGCTTGATCCCCACTGTGATTGTTGGGAGGGTGGGAAATCCTATCATAGTAATTGAAGCAGGGGGTCTTGAAGAGATGATTGGATTGTGAATTCTATGCCTAGTAAATGGATTGATCCCTTCACTCAGTAATAAGTTGATACATTAATGGTGGTCATGGATGGTTCTGATGGCTTTAAAAGGAGCCAACTGAGAAGGTTAGCTATCTCTTCGCTCTGTCACTTTCTGCCATGTGAAACCCCTATGTTACTATAAAGCCACCACCAAAAAAGACCCTCACCAGATGTGTTCCCTGGACTTTGGACTTCCCAGCTTCTGAAACTGTAAGCAATAAATTTCACTTTCTTACAATTACCCAGTTCCAGGTATTTTTGTTACAAGCAACAGAAATGGACTAATACAGTATACAACATAATGAGACACACACTGGTGGGAGGATTAATTCCACTACTGCCAGATGCTACTCTGCTGGCAAACTGTGTTCCCTCTTGCAGTGTGGCCTATGATAATCACATGAGTCTGAATGCATAGTTACACCCAAAAAGATCCCCTGTGGGCACTGCACAGGCACTATATTTAGCACTTTACAGGTATTATCATATTTAGTCCTTGAAACTAAACTTCGTTAGCTTAGTTTCAAGGACTCTGTGAAAAAGGTATTATTAGTAGTAGTCCCATTTTAAGATGAAGAAACAGACTCAGAAGTTAAATAACTCATCCAAAGTCATACAGCAAGGAAGTGATGATACCATTTACCATGTAACCCATTTTAAATGTGTACCCCAGTTTTGTGATGACCAGATCTTTAAGCTTTCATATAATTTATCTTAAAATAGTAAGCTTTTTAAAAAACTGACATATAATTCACATACCACAAAATTCACCTTTTGAAGTGCACAATTCAGTGGTTTTTAGTATATGCAAAAGGTTGTACAGTCAAAACCACAATCTAATTCCAAAATATTATCCTCATTCCCCAAAGAAACCCTGTACCCATTAGCAGTCACTCCCCATTTCCCCCCACCCTCCAGCAACAATTAATCTACTTTCTGTCTCTATGAATTTCCTATTCTGGACATTTCATACAAATGAAATCATATAATATGTGACCTTATGTGTCTCACTTCTTTTACTTAGCATAATGTTTCCAGGGTTCAGCCAGGTTGTAGCTTCCTTTTTATGGCTGAATAATACTTCATTGTATGCATATACTAAGATAATAAGATTTTATCTTGCAGAGAACTTTCTTTCCCCTTATCATATACAAAGTTCTTGTTTAATAAATGATATGACGACAATTTGACACTCCCATAGAAAAGTGGTAAACATCTTAATAATGCCTTATTTGCAGGTGTAAAGAGTGATGGAGTATTCCATGGCCACAATCAGATATTAAGAACCAAAAACTGGGCATGTTCTAAAAAATACAAGTGCGTTTAAGGGGAAAATGTGATAGGCTATTTAAAAGAGGACTCAGCTATGAGGTATCTATATCCAAAGTGTTCATCCAAAACAAAGGTGTTTGGCCTCAGGAAAACGAATCAATATGGTTTAGGCCGAAGGAAAGCCACAAAGTCCTGTGGTGATGTACATGCACTGAAAGAGTCTGATAATTTGAATATTTTGAGAGGAAAGTAAACACAGTAGGCCAAAGATTTCCCTGGGGATTGCACAACATCTGGATAGGGTCCCAATATTTCCATACAAATGAATACCATGAGTACCTGTGAATGAGAACACATGCACACACACACACACACACGCTCATGTACACACACACAGTGTCACTTACTCCTTACATCTCTATCCTTTGAAGAACAGTACATCTTTCTGAGTCCTGAGATTAAACATCTTATGGAGATTATTTAATTCATTTTCACCTATAAAGGGTTATTTATTAACAAATTACTTTCTATACAAGCCACAATACCAGGCGCATTTTGTAATAATTCATATCTTTTTAAAAGAACTTGTCAAAAATATCACAAACTCTGATTCTATTTCTACTTGCTTTTCCCCCTTTACATAAGGTTATAAGATACTGTTCATCAAACATCATTAGAGATAGCCTGCATGCACAATGAATAGATCTCCTGTGATCCTTTCTTCCTTAGCATTCAGTAAATCCAAATGCTTTCCATCACCCAATGAACTGTTTCAAGTCAGAGTAATTTGGGTTCCTCTTCAAAGGAAAGTGCTCTGAACATAGCAAAATATCAAAATATTTATTAAATAAAAGTTATCAAATTTAACTTGCAAAGAAAATATTACCTGGGATTTCCCTTCCAACTTTTAAAATTAATTTCTTCTGTAGGAATACAGCTTTCTGGGTGAACCGTGTTATATATTTATTTATTTATTGACAGGTTTTTAAAATTGGAACAATTGATTATATACCTTAGTGGGTATATTAGTCTGTTTCTGTTGCTTATAATAAAGTACACTGAACTGGGTGATTTATAATTGAAATTTACCGCTTACAGTTTCTGAGGTTGGGAAATCAGTCCAAAGTCCATCTGGTGGTGGCTACAGTGACCCAGGGGTCTCACACTGCAAGATGGTGGAAGCAGAGAGAGCAGAGAGAGAGGATACTCTCTTTTTTTATAGCCCTCAGAACCATGCCCTGACCACCATTATTAATCCATTCACTAGGGCATGGTCCTACAATCTAATCACCTCTTCAAAGCTCCACCTTTCAATTACCATAATATGATTTCCCACACTCTTAACAGTCACAGTAGGGGCTAAGCTTCTAATACATAAAACTTGGGGGACACAATTCAAGTTCCAGTGAGTTTTGGGGGGACATAATTCAATCCACTATAGTGGGGTACAGAATTGAATACCAATACATGTGCACAACATGTGGTGATCAAGTCAGGATAATTAGTATACTCAAGTTTACAAAATGTAATCAATCTTTGTGACCCTTAACTAATTTCTCACTAACCCCCCTCTTCTTCCCCCTTTCCCACCTCTAATTAACCACAGTTCTGTTCTCTTTTTTTGTTTGTTTTTGAAAGTTCAATATATTATTGTGATTCTCCTCTCTCTCTCCCACCTCTCCCTCTCCCTCTCTCTCTGTTTCTCTTTCTTTTACCTCCCACTTACAAGTGAGGACATGAGGTA